CCCGTGCTCTTTTATATCATTAATAATATTGGTGTCATAAATATTTGAATATTCTTATTAACTCATACAACTTCACATTATGAATACAACATGGTTTCTTTAAATTTTGACTCATAAAAAGTTTGGTGAAAACCAATAAAAAGAAAAAAAAATAATAAAATAAAATCATGAACATTTGAAAGTAATCAGAAATGTAATAGAAATTCAAATTTGAAGCATTTCCATTATTTCGTTTGAATTAACTATTAAAACCTTCAGTTTTTCTTTCATACATCCCTTTTTCAGTTCCCGTGCTCTTTTATATATATATGATATAATTTATTCTTAAATTAATATACATCTATTTCTAACGAATAATACTAGATTGCTTCATTGTTCTCATATCTTACATTTTCATCAATTATGATTACACACACCATTGATTTTCCTTCTGCATAATACTAACTACTTTAAGCGCAAATAATAAAATTTATGATTCATCCGTACAAAAAAAGAGATTTAAAATGACAACTATCATTCAAATAATAAAATATCTTTTTCCATCTAAACTTATTACTCATCATATATGCGATTTAGTTAATCAACTACCAGAACAAATTATTAAATCAAATTACATTTTTCTTAGTATCGAGAACGATAATAAAACGCGACAATTTTTTTATTCAACTTTAGAAGAATTGATAACAATTTATAATCAATGTCCGCGAAATGAACGAAGTTTATATGAAATAATTTTTCCAACAAATATAGTTAAAACGTACATCGATTTCGAATACTACATTGATAATAATCTTGATATTAATGATCATTGTATTGGAGCAAATTGTTTTCTAAAAATCCTACATTATACATTAAACGGCTTTAATCACAAGGAGGATCTGAACGAAAATTATATTGATATTGCATTACAACAACTTCTTGTATTAGAAGCGTATATTTTGATAATCTCATTCAACAATTCACAAATTCTTAAAACTTTGTTCTACGTTACAAATTGAAGGAAAAAAATACTGCTGAGTTCACAGAACATCTGTAATAGAATCTTTCATTCTCAATCATCACCAAAATGCTTACGATAACATCAAATAATAAAATTCGCACATTCAAATTTCTTCCTAATTTCTAAAAGATTGTTTTGTCGAAAATTCAAACATTTTCCATATAATCTTATTGAATCACTCGATGCTACTTAATGATATACGATCAATAGCTATATGATTTATTTACCTAGATAGTTATTTACTCATATATATATTAATATTTCTTTTTTGAACTTAGATCAACATCCCGAAAAATATCATACCATTTCATTCATGCAAACCCTACTATTTTATTTGAAAACAATATGACCCTTGGTGTTTTCATTAAAATTTTAATACATTTAATCTTAACATCCATTATTCAACACAAATGTTCACATTTTGTGGAACTCACATATATTTTCGAAGAAAATGGTGAGTGTAAGTTTAAAAGCGAGATTTTTGCAGCTCCCCACCCCTCCCA